AAGAAGGCACATGGATGTGTCCAGAGAACCACCGCAGCTGCTTCAGAGACACTAGTTTCTTGCCAGGATGGGAGAGTCCATTGCCTGCTGGGAGATCTGGCCGTCTTACATTGACCTCAGACTTGAAACCAGTCCTGTGTTCTCTACCCGTAGGTCCACAAGTTACGTAGGCTACCACATCGTAGGTCATTGGGAGCTCTGGAGGGGTATTTTGAAATCCCTCCATGCTCACAGAAGACTCGTTTTCTTAACATTTGCTCATAAACTCATAAACTTATTTCCTCTTATTTTATGCCCCCCACCACCTGCATTAAAATCCCTGGTATTTAGTCGAATTTCAGGAAAGTAAATGGGTGTGTGTGTGCATGCGTGCGTGTGTTTGTAGGTGTGGGGTGGTTAATGGTGAAAAGCTTGAGGGAAATAAAACAGATAATTTAAAATGTTGACAACTTATTACTCTTTTAGAGTTGTAGTTCAGTTACAGGAATGCTTTCTTGGTCGACTGTTAGGTAGCTTTGATTTTAGTTCTGGGTAGATGTGTTAGTACTGCCAATCCCCACCTCAAGCAGTGAGCTTTTTGGCTACCCTGTCCTGAGTCAATTTTGTTATCTTGGTTTACTAGGTGTCCACTATCAGATGAGTTGATTTCTCTTGCTGGGCTTGGTTCTGTTTATCCTTTTTAACTTAGTATGTATTCCAGAGTCAGGCCGTGCTGCTGTATTTCCTCTGCACAGGGATGACAGTTGCTTCATTGTATGCTGCTCCCAAGTTAGAATTCAGTGTGTTGTGGAGAAGGCAGCTCATCCTGAGTAAGTTTGTTAAGTTTTACACTACAGTAAAGTTCTATGTTAGAAACTTGCTTAGTTTGTGTGATTTTATGCTTGGAATATTTCTTTAGTTAAGATTGCCTTGTGCTTTTTGTATTCTGTCTTTAGGATGTTGAGGTATTAGGAATCTTGGCAACCAAAAGGATTGAACCCAGTATCTAACACAGTATTGGTGTTGATCTATAAACATAATGCCTTTTTTGATGTGGGGGTGGTTTTAACCTCATTTGTTAAGCTCTAGGTCCATGCTTAACACAGTAATAATGAAGTTAATTTATTTTGGAGTGATTTCCTAATAGTGTGATGGATTTATTTTTCTTTTTTTTAAACCAATTTTTTTTGGCAAGGCTGAAAAAGAAGGGTACATCTTTTATTTATTCACTGCTGGCCACATTAAAGCTGTTAACAGTTTAGCATAGTTTAGAACTCTTATCTGACAATTTCCTTGGGTAAAATGATTCTAACCAGCTAAATACACAATTGTGCAAATTCAATTTATTGTTGAAATTTGCTCTCAATTGCCTATAATCTAGTAATTGGAAGAAAGTTGATTATAATGTACTTCATAGAGGTGTGTAGGCCATGTACATCTGTGTGAATTGTAACGCAGTTTTGCCTGGGATTCTTTATTTCACATAAACTCCCATTAGCTATGCTAATGTATTAAAGACCTTTGCTCAAAGATAGAATAAACATGCTGTTCCATGAGGTGTTGTAGTTTTTGCTCATATCTCCTATAAAGACAAAGATATATATTTTATAAAGTAATCCTACATCTAGCATGGAAGAAAAATACTCAAGATTGTCAGCATTCTAGTGAGTATACAAGACAAGAGCAGCAGTGAGTGGCCGTAGTGGGGAATACACTGACTTCGGTTTTTAAATCCTCTACAGGCAATATACACCCCTACTGTTTGTACCTTGACCCTCTTAGCAGTGATGTGAGTTATCCATTGCATTATGAATTGATTAACCACTGGCTGTCTGAAATTGTCTTGCTGTTGAACTCTTGAGTTGGCCTGGTTGTGTATTGACCCTGTTCTGAGTACCTTCAAGTCTTAAGGATGTCTGGTTGTGGCAGCTTTATTGTAGATGGCCTTAGGTAGAGAGTCATGGGATCCAGGGAGCTATGTGATTTAGGGAAGATGAAGGATGTACTTGTAAGGGCATGGGAAGACCTTAGGAAATTGCATTAGGGCTGGGTTTGTGCTGAAGGAAGCCCTGAGTTCATTCCCCAGTTTAAGAAAGAGTACATAACAGTGTAGATTCTGTGTAAAGTGAAGGTGTTAGAGCAGTCCAAATTTGTTATTTTAAACTTAAAATGGGAGGGATTTTCATTAATTATACTGAAAAGGTTTTAGAATTCTATTTTGGGAAACTTTTTTTTTTTTTTTTTTTTTTGGTTTTTCAAGACAGGGTTTCTCTGTGTAGCTTTGCGCCTTTCCTGGAACTCACTTGGTAGCCCAGGCTGGCCTCGAACTCACAGAGATCCGCCTGGCTCTGCCTCCCGAGTGCTGGGATTAAAGGCGTGCGCCACCACCGCCCAGCTATTTTGGGAAACTTGATGTTGGCAGCATCACTTCAAAAGTTAATTTGTATCTATTTGTAATTGGATTGGTTGTATTTTGTTTGCACTCTAGAATTTGAAGGCAAGGCTACTTCCTTGGCTTTAA